GTGTGTGTGTGTGTGTGTGTGTGTGTGTGTGTGTGTGCATGCGTGCGTGCATGCATGTGTGTGTGCGTGCGTGCGTGTGTGCGTGCGTGCGTGTGTGTGTGTGTGTGTGTATATATACATACATCACATACGTTGTTATGATCCCAAAGTAAGTAACTAATAAATGAATAAATAACGAATGGATACTATAAACACCCAGATCAGAGACGATATAGAAAAGTTACTTTTTGGACATTGAGCCGGCCAGGGATCGAAGCTATCAGAGATGCGATACCATGAAAACCAGTGAGCAAGCCACTCGACCACGGAAATCATCAAGTGAAATTCCAAATTCTACATTTCGATACCAATTTGGTAAGTCGCACTTTCTGCAATCCATTAATGGTTCATGTGGCCATTGTGGGAGACAGCAGAGAGGGGAATCAAGAAAGTGATTTTTATAGGCACCTGTACCTTATAACAGTGCATAGGATTTGACACTTCCAGCAGAAAGTCAGGACGACTTATTCGACTTACAAAGAGCTCATCTAACAAACAAACTTATCTAAAAATACATAGATAATTAGCCTACAATCAACTCTTCACCCACTTACGGTCAATAAAGTTACATGGAGCCGTGGGTGTCGCCAAACGAATACTATCGAATTATCCAATGTGACTTTACTGAAATAAAGGCCATGTTTAGAGTGTTTTTGTGCGATTTAAAATATTACATTATTTTTTTATAACATCAAGTGATGAGACGAATAAATCGTGCGCCTGATGATAAGCTACACGCCTGTCCATAACAGTTGCAATGCCACTCAGTTTTAAATCGCAATGATGTGAGGGGCACTGATACTGCGCACGTCACCCTGGGACATAAATTGACAAGTCCTATGTGCCTGTAATTTCACCAGCACCCTTACCCTTCAAAACCGGAACACAGCAATGCTGATATTACTGCTTGGCGGCAGAAATAGGCGAGGTGGCAGTACTTTGGACGAATTCTTTCACAAGGAGTGCTACTACCTAAAAACCTGCCTCTGAAACTCCAGAATGATTAAAAATAAATTACTATTACAACATTTTTCTCCTCAATACTATACTCTTAGTAGCAGTAGAGCTCCTCGTAAAAGATTTCCAGGTAATGGCAGTACATACGTATGTATGTTTACCGCCAAGCAGTAATCTGAACGTTACTGCGTTTCGGTTTTGAAACATATGAACATCGCGGTAATAAAAACATCATGATATTCAATATAATAAATAACACAATGTTTAGTTGTTAAAACAGAATGTAACTAATCACAGGTGTTAACGTTATTGACGCTCTTTGACAGTCTTGGTAAGTCAGTTTTCCCAAACGCACGATCAAATAAAATATTAAACTATCCAACCAAATTCCTACACTTCTGAATGGAACCTAATGCCCGGTAGAAGCACAAATACAGGTCCAAGTCTGACCCCGCGTAGGTCCTAATTGAGGCAGGCGCGAACGACCGATCTCTGACCCTCGGATACACATATTATCACCTACGCTGCTAGTTTGATTTCATTGTACAATAAGGTAATTTAACATGTATCGAAAATGTAAAGCTTTACATTAAAAAAACACAATTGAAGGGCAAACGTAGAAACGTAATTAAAATTCATGGATACGTAGAATATTTCTACAAACTATTCAGGCATTTGTACTTAGAAAGAGACACGGAAATATTTGTCTGTGACGCCACTACCTTATGCACGCCATACATACTAATTACCGGTTTGCTAAAAAGGAAATAATCCCATCACTTAAAATACACTGGATTCAGTAAAGTTGAGATCTAGTGAAAAAGTTAATTCGGATTTATTTTTACTTTTTATCATTATTTTCATTCATAATACACTGAATAAGGCATGGAACACATTCCCCAAAATACACAGGATCTTGGTTTAGCACTAAACGGTACAGTAAGTCTACGAATTTAAAAAAACAGTTTGGTAAAAGTGAGTGAGAGTGTAATACGAATGCGTATGTGCGCGTTGTGTGTATAAACTAAACGTATTTTGCTTAAACGACCAAGTAATGTGTACCATTTTTATAGTCAAACGTAGTCCAGTTTCACTATTTTTACTGCACAGACAAAACTATACTTTTCCCCGAGACCGAGCAAAATGACACGTTTAATGCGTAAAAGGGTTGCTAGCTTACAAGCAGCTAGTAATGGCAGCCGGTAAATATTCTAACGACTGAATATTGTTTACGCTTACGCAATAAATGGCTGAACTTGTTTAATTTCAATATAATTAATAAAAGGTAAAAAACTGTATAATAAATGTCATCTTGGAAGAATAACATCATACCCCTGTACTTCATGAATTGAGTTCGGTACCAGTATCAAAACAAGAAAGAAGGCGATACTATAATTATTAATCATTACAACGTCATAACAGTCACTATCCATACGTTTCCGAGAAATTTTATCTCCTTTCACAATCTATCGATAAAACTATCGAGGACCAAATTTTACGAAAAATAGCAATCCTGCAAATGTCGTTTTATAAATGTCGTTTTATGCCGTCTTGAATAAAATAATATAGATTAATTCACACATTCTTTTTGTTTTGCCTATTTGGAAATAAATTTATTACGACAATTTGCTTTTACATAACTGCTTAAATATATGCAAATACGACGAATTCGCGTTAATAGAGGTGTATATTATAAAGTTCGTAGCAAACGCCTTATCGCTTTGCGTTACACGCAGAATAGAACTTACATAGTTTCGTATTGTGTATCGTAACTTTCACAATAAAGTAGTTAATCGCGTGACAGAAGGTTGTTCCCAGCAACACCTTATTTGAAGACTTTTAAATAGTCGAAACGTCAGAAACGCTTCGCTAGATTGCAATTACTACAAAATTATACTAATATGAGTGAGTGAACATGAAATAAAGTCTTTTTGGTGTAAATTTCAGATTTCACACACAATTATGACCTATTTGCGCCAAGTCGGATAAATAAAAAATCTGGAAACGTACTTTTTTCTGACTTTTGTCCATAAGACATTAGTTCATGGGTCTAGCGTCATAAATCATGCTCTGTTAACTATTTGAGCAGTCTTAAAAAGCTGCAAAATCGAGAAACAAAGAAATCAAATCGATTCGACTCTGGCATACCCGGAAGATGTCTAGAGCTGTTATTGATGGAGACCTTCTGAACATAGATAGATAGATAACTCGTTTATTTGCTGAATCACAGTACATTACAAAGAAGCTTATGACATAGGTATAATGGTAATGATAAAGAAAAGGGTTAGCCTAGGTTTTTGCGGGTATCACCTGGAGTTCTGGAG